AAGAGGAATTTGATTATATTAGCATATACACATTTTTTAGATTTTGATACTAGCAAAATAGCCAAGGCAGCAATGAATAAATCTTAGAGTAAAAGCATCAGTCCCTAAATTTACAATTAGATAAGTTTCGAGTATTTCACACAATTGTACTTGTTGCTTCCATGGCTATATAAGGAAACCTTCATTAACTAATGCGATAATTTAGAGAGTTGTTGAATATCTTTATACAAATACGCATATGGGTTTATCCCTTCCTATACTCAATGTAGTGTCACACATGATTTTTAATTCCCGTAGATGTAAAATCGCGGAGATGAAATAATCATATAAATGTGACACGAGTTACAATGTTACCCATGATATACATTTTAAGTAGTAAATTGAAGANTAACATGTATCATGATTTTATTAAAGCTAATGATGTATCCTGATTTAAGCTTACACACCTTATGAAATCTATTCTTTAGTCTCAATATATAATTAAAATATTTACGTTTGTACACATTTATAAACAAATTATAGAGTGCCCATAAACAGAGAAATACTTTTTTTGTAATACTAATATAGTGATAGCATATAAGACGTGTATGTAACAGAATATACAATGATAATAATATATAATATAATAATACTGTTCTATATCATAAAAATAGCAATAGGAAAATCATAATAATTCCTTAATATTATTAATAATAATAAAAAAATCATAATAACCATGATCATAGTTTACTCATAACATAGATGTGTATATAAAAAAAATTTCATCATATAATCGGGTTCCTGCGAATAAAACTTGCTAACTTACTTGGCCCAGACATAATTTTAATAGGATGATTCAAGATACTCTCGAGATTACAAGTACGATGCATCTCTCGATTTTTGTATCTTGACTTTCAAAAGGCATTATTTCGCAATCTTATGCACTCCATTTGTAAAATATGTTTTCTTGTGAGGAGCAATTCAACAATTACGTGACACCATGAGGAGAGAGGGATTTATTAACGTGACGCCTATGATGATAGGGGGAGGAGAGAGTAAAGGCCATCGAACGTCATTAGATGGCATTATAAAATAATATAAAATAGATTAATTTGATATTATATGCTTAAAAATTATTTGTATTTTAAAAAAAGATAGTAACGTGTAGTTTACAATAATTATTATCTACAATATGATTATATTTTTTTATTCTTTATCGACGGAGGAGGGGAATAGAGGGTGTGCAAGCTATTCGAATTCAAATCGAATCAAATGAATAGTACTTCGTCAATGTTAATGTGCGCGATTCATATTCGAGTCGAAAAAAACTATTAAAAATTCCCATCTTTATGGGGATTATCATGACGATAAATTCTGGTTAAATTCTAGTGTTAAAATCCTCTTCAAAAGTATTAAAAGCAATAATTTAAGGTATCGGTAAGATACTATTAAAATTTGCGTATTAAAAAAAAATCATTATGATATCAGATCTGTATAGATAATCGAAAAACGCTGACATTAATGATAACTTTTAATCATTTGATATAAATATAAATGATATAAATGATACAAATGATATAAATATAAAATTTAGCTTATATCACAATATTAATTTTACAATTTATAATTATTCTAATGCGAGTCTCGTAGATACGTACATGTGTACCTAAGATGTGCAGTATATTATATATTTTTGTGAAACTATATTTCTATAGTCACATGACTATATTTCTAGAATCACATTCTGCATCGATTGTAAACGGTCGATAATATCAACGCTCTTCGAATACTTCAGTAATTGATTTATGATCTTTCGTCTGTTTCAGTTAATACTATCCTAAATAAAATATATTTCATCAATTTCAATTTTATTCTAAATGTTAAAATATACATAAAATATCTTATACTTTGAAATAACTTGATATCACAAGGTCGATGTTATCCCTCTCATACCGAAGTCTCTCCTCACTAACTTCATGTTAAATCCAATAATTATGTCGTTAATTAAAAATTATATTTCGACGACTCAATTCGAGTGAAATTTCGTCGATTCAATTCGGATTCGAAAGTAAAACATGAGATTCGATTCGACATCTAAAAATCTTCGATTCCCACATTTTGGGAGGAAAGGGAGAGTCACGTGATATTGGGAGGGCGCAAATATTTTGTGACGAAATTATAACGAAGGGTAGAGGTGGGTAAAAATATCCGTTTTACGCAAATTTAACGCGACGTAATTGTTGAATGGCTTTTAATTAGATTGCTTAAATTCTTGGGTTATGTATATTGACTACTAATTTTGTTTTTGTTTTTTTTTTTTATAAATCTACATTGTTCAAATTAGCTGCGGATCCTGTTGGCAAATCTGGCGCTACAAATTTACCAATAGGTTGTACGGCTTCGCGTTGTTCAGCTAATTTTTGCATTTCTTGCCTAAGTTTACCTAAGATGGCATGATTCGGCTGATTGACGGCAGCCTTACCCTGCAGAAGAGTAATTTGTTGCTCCAACTCCTTCTTCTCCTTGAAGGACTTCACGCTCCGCGATCCGTAAAGCCGTAGCAACGAGCCCCAAGACTGTATATGCGGATGCATAAGTTGCAGTATCGCTTGTGCCGCTCGTTGCTTACCGTCTTTTTTATTACGGCAAACCTATAATTACCAATTAATCAAGAGATAAATGTACTCTTTTTTTTTACCACTTAAAATTACTTGGCAATTCTATTCATATACATAAGCAAGACACACGGTAGATTACACTTACAACAGTGGCTTCGTGTTTCCCAACTCTCATCGTGAATTCATTCCTCTGGTGTTTCAGCGTGTTCACTGAATAATTAATATGCATATCTCCCAGGCCGTAATTTCTCTGAAGGCAGGTTATTAAAATGGCGTGCGGCGAAGGTTCGGTGGTTTTCGCGCAGAATTCCGCGACTCGCGGATCCGTGATGGATATCTCGTCGAAAAAGGACAGATCCGCATCGGAGTTCCTTCGAGAGGCTTTCATCGTGCGGCTAGCATTGTTCGACCCGTTGTCTCCGTCATTGTCGCCGGAGATCTTGTCCTTCATCTGTGGGATCAGGATCTCGAGGGTCTTGCGTGCCGCGTTTGCTTTCGCTTGCTTCTTACTGCTGCCGAATCCGCTGCCGTATTCCATCTCGTTGATGCACACCACCGCGGAATACGGAGTCGCCGCATTTTCTGCAATTGAACGCGTCGTCATTTCCATCCTTGAAGTAAGAATAAAACACTCGACAGCGCGAGCCTGACGAGAATAAGAACGAGGATGTCATGCGTATTAAACGATGTGGCCGTACCTAGCTCTTTAAACTTGTACGACGGTTGTTTCTTGAGGGCGTGCTGCACATATTCATGAAGAATGCAAACGTAACTTTTGCCCGACGGGTTCATTATCCAATGCTTCGGATGTCTCCGGCTGCCTTCGTCCCCGGCAGTATTACCGTTACCACTTACGCCACTACTGTTGACAGGGAAAGTTATCAACTTCGTGCCGTCCGGCAAAGTTGGACGTTCAAGTTGTTTTCGATGTCTCTTGTTTTTCGTGAATTTCCGACGCGCCGACCAGGACCTACGACGAAGTAAATCAACATAGAAAAAACAAATCTGATCTGACGACATAAATATCATTCGCGATACTCACTGGAATCTCATTACTTTGATAGATTTGAAGCGAAAGAGGGATTGACAATAATTCCTTAATTGTTCGCTATCTAACGAATGCGCCTCACGGTTCTCCTGTATAGTCTCGATTTTTGCACTAGGAAGACTGTAAGTTTCGGCGTTCGGTGCTCGCTCCATCTCCCTTTTCCGTTCTTCCGCCTCTTCCTCTAACGCTCGCTTATATTGAAGGCAAGGTATACCGCTCATAGGAACCTCATGCTTCCTAACACTCCCCGGACCGAGGAAATACGGCTTCGCCAGAGTGCAAACTCTGCTCTGTTTGTGGAGGTACAGCGGCATTCCGCTATTATGAGTTACCTGCACCCAACCCTCAGGTAGAACGTCAAAATGATTGTGTCCGATTTCTAAGGGTGAGAAAGGAAGGATGTGGTGGCACGAATATCATATAAATTAAGCAACACCATAGCGAGATCACAACTGAATCGTAAATGACAAGATTTACAGAGTTCGTGTAACTGATTTAATACGATTCTATCACGTACCATCTAAAACAAGTTTCTCTTTCTCCTCATAGGGCGTGCTATCCTTTTTGTTTTTCCTCTTTCCTTTAAATTCTTCCGGCAGACCTAACACACACATGTATGTTTCATTAAAAAAATATATTTAGAAACTATGTAATCTTCTTCTTACGTTAGGCCTTAAAAAAGGTCGTGTTATTCTTCTCGCAGTAAAATATATTAAATTTAATTTCTATCAGGGGGTAACTTAAATAATTATTAAAATATTAAGATACCTTCTCCTAATATATTCTATACCTTCTTCTAACATCGCCTCGATTTCTTCATCTGGCACGTCAGAGTCCATAGTCTCGTCTGTATCAGAATCTACGTCCGAACAATTTGGATCCGAATGACGATCTAGATCGTCCAGTACGTCAAATTGCCGCAGATCATCGGGAGTACTTTTTGCATCTGTATTGAATTCTAGAGACTCCAGGCTGCATGAACTATTGTACAGAGCGTCTTTATTGTCGATGCAGATATTTTCTTGCTTCATCACTTTACTGTAATGGCTATTATCAAGCGTGCCAGCGTGACCGGTCGATGTAGTACTATGATCTAATTCTGATTTTATACACGGTATTTCCCAATTTTGATTCTCGTGTTGCAGATACGGGCTTCCTCCGCAAATAAAAGCATCATGATTTTGATTGTTCTTGCTATCATCGAAAATCTTAACTTCCACAGCTGTCTCTTCAATTTTATTAGCCTCCGTTGCATATGTGTCGTGTGAGATATCTGTTGAAACACTATAAAATGTAAGTAAAACTCGCGCGTTTAAAGGACAAAAGGACAAGAATGGCTAAGCAAATAATAGTAGAGTATCCGAGCCGCCTAATCTTTTACCACGTTGTTTCTCTGTCAGATAAAGAGAGTCTGATTATAGAACTTGAACCGGAACCTAAACCTGAATATATCTAAGTGCTAGCCAATATAGACTTATTAATTGTACATACATACATATTCAGACAACGATTATATATCTTATACGCAAATTAATTGTAAGTACAACTAATAATAACAAACAATATCCAGTAAACTTAAGCCCAAGGTCCATATAAAGCAATCCATGGATTGAATACGTATTAAGCGCGTTGTATGGCCACACCACTTTCACCAATGAGGCCAAAGTCCAATCAGTATGAAACCAAAATGGCAACGAAAATTGGACATTTGCATTAGTGTTAGCAGTCTGGGGCCTATTACACACCGATGAGAATATATTGCATAAGTTGAGCTCTTATTTTACCAGATTTTGTAGGTGGTTGAAAGTGTTCATCGTATTACTCACAACTCCGAGTCTAGACAGGAACAACATTGAAAGATTGAACCTGACACTAGCTGGAGCCATGCGATGATACTAATCAAAATTATATCTGGTCTTCGGCTTGGCAGACAAACGTACGCTTGTGAGAATTGTGTTTATCAACTATATATACAAATTTCATATTTTAATAATGATCAATAAACGGAGAGAGAAAATGATTCTATGATATATAATGTATATAAATCTTATATGTAATATTATTGTTCCTATGCAGCATGCTATATAAAATGAATAATACCTTACGAAAGGATACCAAATTGATTGCATTCAGCAGAAGACAGCGCTAGATTAGTGTTCAGTTACCGTTCTGAAGATCCTATTGAATATTTTTCCTCATGAAACTTCTGTTTCTTTCTGCTGGATGCAACCATCATTGTTGAAGATAAAGATTTTCCCTTATCACTATACAAGCAAATGAACTGAAGATCTCACCAACCCCCCTCCCCGTCAATTCAATATAAATATTTGTAATTAGCATAATTAATTTGAAAATACAATAAATGCAATCGTATTACGTCTACATATTCAAAAAGAAAAAGAGATATCTCGCTTTGCACCTAATAAGATATTTGAAAGTACACTGCTTACCCATTATCGGATCTTATTCAGTTCCAATCCGTGTTAAAATCTGCAAATCGTTTTGCAATTTATCTTTATATGATTGCCAGCGTCTACAATTTATGCATCGCAAACATATTAAAAGTAAAAAAAAATACATAATCTAACAAAAAGCAATATTAACATAGTTGATCTATTTCTCCCACCTGAAGGTTAGGTTAGGTTATGTTAGGCTAGATACAAGTTCTCAGTTATGGCTGGGATAACCTTAAAGCTCGTCTCCATTACTACAAATTCAAGGTCCTGAGACTATATCACACTATAGGTGTGTTCCGATATTGGCCAAGTTATTTTAATTAGGGTTGCGTTCGGAAACACATATGGCTTCTACCATATTCCCGCGTCTTATGAATAGAAGCCAAGAGTTTTCGCGTTCTGTGTGCAGAAGTCTTAATTCACAATTACCACGTGAAGTCTGGAAAAGTTCGTTCTACCCATAAGATTATTCAAATTGATTTAATTATTGCAAATTTGGAAAAATGTCGGACACATTTGATAATGATTTCTCCAATACATCTTCTGATGTAAATACTGATTCACAATTAAATGAACTTTTGAACATTGAGAAAGAAAAGGTTGTAACGACCGCACAGGTAACTATTAATGCATTCTGCTATTCATCTTTGATGAATTTTTATTGCTGATAATCATATTGAATTACGCTTGAATGAAATTTTCAAATTACATCTAAAGTATTATTCAACACGGTATATATTTAATATTACATTTTTATCAAGAAAGATTTATTGTAAGAAGGAATTTGTATGTTGGTTATGAAGCACACGCAAATATGTGAAAATTTTCATCATTTGTTTAGATCCATGCGTTTAACGACATTTGTTGGGAAACATGCGTCGACAAGCCAGGAAGTAAATTGGGTGGTCGCACAGAAACCTGCATAAGCAATTGTGTCAATAGATTTATAGACGTTTCTTATTTTATTACCAATCGTTTTGCACAGTTGCTACAAAATTCCATAAGAAATTAATTAATTTTACAAAATATACTCCTAGAATGGCAATTATGGTATCAGATATTTTTGTTCAAATGTTACAAAATAGTATAGATATATGCCATAAATAAAAGAACTGAATTTGTTATCACTTGTAGTTTAATGCTTCTGGATATATAATTAAGTTATTAAAGAAAATATGTATCTTTCAATATAAAATACAGAATAAAATATTTATTTTTATGTTTATTCCTCTGATTGCACACATCTTCATGAATAAAACTGTAACAATATAAAAAAAACTAAGAACTTGTGAGCCCCAAGATAAATTTAACTAGTTTAATATAATATTGAAATATTCCGATAAAGCAAGAGGATATAAGATTAGGATAGTTATTCAAAAATATATATTGCTCGCTTTTCTGCTTTCTAAATTTCTTTTCAAACATTAAAGCGATAACTATTGCAGAAGATATTTAGCTAAGAATAAATACATGTAGATTTATTATTTTCTATTGTTAACATGTGGTAAACAAGTAAATTAATTTCTTAAAAATATCACCATAATATACCATCACAATGCAATGCTCATACTGTGAACATACCATTCTCTCTCTCTCTTTCTCTTTCTATATATATATATATATATATATATATATAGAATCACATACATTTATATATATATATATAAATATGTATGTGAACATGTAGCAGAGATATTTCTGCATTAAATTACATTTAGAAAATTTATGTCAGTCCAATATATTTAGTATCAGAAAGTTATAGGTCTTTGTGGAAGGCACATGTTATAAAATGCATCCTTTTTCCAGAAATCTTTTGTTTTCCACCCACACCATCCTTTGTTCAATATGGTGGTTAAGTGTTCTGCACCCATGTAATGTGGATCTAGAATTAAGAACTTTCCTTCCCCAGAATGCTCATCATAACTAACACCTAAAATCGTGTGGGCCAATACTCCGCCACCTACAAGACACCAAAAAATATGTAGAAACAAAATTAAATAGTGTACCGTTAAATATTTAGTCATAATTATTTTTCTTAAATATGAGAGAAAAGAGAGTGGTATCTGAAACTTACCGATCATGACAGGTGTACCCTGAGTATCGAAGTGATTTGCTAGCTGTGGAATTAAGGCTGACATCTCCTCTCCACTTGATACGCACAGTATTTTTGTGTCTATATTAAGGAGAGTCGACAGCACGAAACTGATTTCAGTCGAACCAATCCACTGTTTACTACCAATGAAGGCAAACGGTTTATCGCCTATATCAACTAAACATTGCTGTATCTTGCAATGTGTAGGTATTGGTATATCGGTATAACCTTGTAATCTGCAATAAAACAAAATGCGTTTCAGTTGCACGCTTATGTCAATGCCGATATACGTTAATAAATACTTTTTTACCTGTACCACGAAATTATTGTTTGGAGAGACCTGTAGGAACATCCCCATCCGTTGTCATCAAAGTCATCTTGCATGTAATGATGATACGAATACAAACCGTATATGATACTTAATTTCCCCGTGATACCTGATGAAAAATATAAACATTTCATGTAATATATTTTGTATGACAGTCAATTTAGATATACAAATACATACCTTTATGCGAAATAGCTTCATGAGGATTTATGAGAATCTCATTTGCTTGTGTATGAAGTTTTACAGCATTACCACGTCGGAAATACGGTTTAGTTAAATCAAACGCTAAAGCTTTATGTAAAGCCTTACGGTATTCCACTGAAATTATACGACTGGTCTATATAAAAGCAAATATATGACATATGTTACTGCGATCAAATGTTTGATAGTGATAATTGTACAATAAAACAAATAGCATGGAACTTGTAATATGAAAAACTACAGGGAAATATGTAGAAAGAGAATGAGTTTTCTTACTTGTGCTGTCATTAGTAAAATTGCTAGGATATGCCACTGTAAATAAATGTCCGCAGCCTTGAGGTTTGAAATGCATTATCTCGGGCAATTTTGTAGAAAAGTCTGTCTCCTCGGACTGTTTTTCTTGTTGTATCTCAATTAACCTAATGTTTCGGCAAATAGATTCCACAAGGATCGCGTGTAGCTCCGCAGATTTCACATTTAGATTCACCAATGATAATGCATCAATATGTAAGCTGCATTCTAGACTGTTGAAGGATTCTGTAACAAAAGTATTGATAGGTTAAAAAATAAAGAGAAAAAATCATGTCAGTAAAAATAACATCCACGATATTCGTTGTATCTTGACACATATATGTTATTATATGTTACTTTATACTGTGCTCACTTTTGATATGCTGCAAGACAGGAGCATATTTGATAGATTCTTCAGAATTCTTCTCACCTGATATCTTCAATAACATGTGTGCGTTTATAATATCCTGAAAATATTAAGAAATGTATACATATAAAAAGAACATTGAATTATTTCTACCTAAAGTATTGTGTAAAAAAATCTAAATTGAGAACATACTGTAGCCCCTGTATGATGATTTTTGTTTGATGCTTTGAAAGATTTATCATAGTCTTTAGATGCACATAAAATATCTTTTATCAGTGTACCTTTCAAATCATTGTCAGTTCTGAAGAGGTACATATTGTTTGTAGGGAAATGTATACCTATTTTTCCAGATGCAATCTGCAGCAATACAAAATGACATCTTTATATAAATATATACAATTATAATAACACAATACATGTGCAATTATAATAATACAAAAAGTTGACACAAACATAAATTATAAAGAAACTTTACATTTTTTCGTGATTCCTCCAATGCTTCCAATATGTTGCCATCCTGAGCAACCAGTGGGAGTGTTGCTTGCAATCTAACATACGCAAATTTTCGAGAAAGATCATCTCCGCTAATAATAGTGAAGTCATTGGCAACTTCTAATTTCTGATGTACATAAAAGTATGCCTGAACTTTTAATGCACTATGTGAATATTTTAAAAGCAATGGATTATCAGTGATGTCGATGTCCTAAACATATAAACACATGCATATATGTTAATTTACTGATGATATAATACATATGTTACTTTATTTCTTTATAATAATAAAGCAATTAAAATAGATTACAATACTTTGCAGGACAATGACAAACCAAATAAATATAACATATTTGTATAATTACCTTGAACACATCTGGATTTATTTCTTGGCATTCACCAATTTGTAATATACCACAGCAATATATATCTGCAGGTAAATTCAACTGTAGAGTCATATAGTCAATTAAATTTTCATTCTCACTATCATTTTCATTTATGCCGAATGTTAATACCACAAGTGTATCATTGTACATAATACCATAAAGATAGCCAGTTGCTGTAGTTTCTGTATTTTTCAGTCGCTGAAAATATTGTTTTCAGATATTAAAGATATTTTAACTTGCAGAAATTATTAGTATATCATTGTTGCACTTGATATTTCCTTCTTTTCTCATCATTAATACACACAAATGCACATAAGACATAATATTAAAAAATAAATTTATGATAAAAGAATATTTGCCACAAAGAGAAATTCATGTTGTAAGGGATAATAATCGAATAACCGTGTAAATATAAGAAATTTCTATCTAATAAAAGATAGGCTATATCTAAATTATTATCGATGCAAATGTTTTCTCTGACATTTACCTGCAGAACATTTGACAAGATCTGTAATTGCAATGCCATGATTTTCACTATGAAATCAGAATTATATCTTGTAACGATCAAAAATACTTTGCGCTGTCAACGGGATCAATCGAGACCGATCTCACCATATGGAGTGAAATGAAATTAAATTCTCAAGCACGAACCACCTACATTGAGAGGTTAAATTAAATTCCTTTTCGTTGTCAAAGTTCAAAAAAAGCAACAGTTTAAATCTCTGTTTTAAGTAAAACAGCACTCGTGTTTTATTGAACGGAACCAAATGAATGAAAAAAAAAACTGTGTACGAATTTATACTTTATTAATCCATATACAATTCCGCATCGGGGGATCTGTCTCGAGACGATCGTTCTGTGAAGTCGTTTCATGCAAATACATCTTTAGAAGCGACTCTTATTACGAAGAGTTATTATAAAACTTTTACTTCCGCAACGAGGAAATAACGAATTATAGCGACAAAGACAATTCGCGAATCAATGATAAAACGCAATGCAATTTGATCTCCGTTATTTTCTTAAATATCTTCAACGTTAGGGCTGCGTCACACCATTGCGGGAACACTTCGTCGGAGACGCTAATTGGCCGTCCGCCGGGGGATTTTGGAAACTTCCGAACAGGGTCGTCAAACGATACAACTGAATTTCCCCAAAGAAAAAAGTTAAACGGGGGAAGAAATAAAAGAAACCACGTTTGTTAATATCGTTACTGACCATTACAAACGACAAATTACAAAGATACGATATTTAAAAAATAGAGAATATAATTTCTATCACCTCAAAAAAAGTACATATAGTAATCCTACCCAAAACATAATAATGTATATATATATAATATACATCAAAATATACTATTAACGAATATCACGCTACTCTAAAAGGTATTCTGCACACATCATTTTTATCAATAGGTGCGTTCAGCGAACTCATCGGTTGCGCGACAGTTAAATTGAAAACCAAGTAAAGCCATGCATATTACAGATTCTCAGTACTAGCAGTGAAATTAGAACACAGTCCTCTCATGATATTTTCCCCCGAAAAATCGTCAAAATTTCCCCCACAATTTTTCGTTCCCCAAATTTCATTGGCATAAAATTCCCCCACTTTGAGGGAGAAGAAAACCCCAATCTGATGTAACCCTGCTTACGAATTTTGAGGCTCGAGCGGGCTCGGTAGCGCCATCGGTCAGTGGCTCGCGGAACCAGGGGCGTGAACGTGAAATTCAGCGCTCAGTACTCGTGGGTGAATCAAGGTGTCTCGTTCGCACGGGTGGTGCGCAGCAAAATGGCCGTTCGACTCAAGTGAGTGTGACGTTTCTCGGCTCGAGTGGTGTTCGTGTTCCCGACCTAGCCGCGCGCAGTTTTCCATGAATATTCGCATGTGCGACGCGGTGCCGCAGCGTGTCTCGCGTCCGTCCGCCCCTAAGCGGAAGCTAGCTGTTCGCGCGGTCAGAGGTGAGTGCGCGCGTAGCAGCGAGACCGTCTCTCTCGCGAACTCGGGGCCAGCCTTAGGTGTGTGTATTTAACCCGTATCGTGCGTGCGTGCGTACGGTCTCGTTCGGCCGGCTCGCGACGGCCATCGGGACGTCGTTATCGTCGTCGGCGGGCCGCCGCTTGTCGTTCCGCTCGCTCCTCCACGCTCGAGACTGTCCACGCGCTGTTGAATAACGTGCCGCAACCTAAATTCCTGAACCTCTGTCTCGGAATTCTGTTTATCTCCCGATCGTCCCGCTCCGGGCCGAGGTTCGCGTCCGAATAGACGTTGCAAACACCTGGTTAGATAAGCATCGTCAGTCTCGAGCGTGACAAATGCTGTAAACATCTTGATCAAGCGAGAGTGATGCGCGTGAGTTTGGTTAGACTTCCAGTTCGGGCTCGTCGGGGACATTCCTTCCTCCCGTTTCACGCGTCGTCGCCTCCGATGGATGGCAGCTCGACGGATCGCCGACTCGAACGTATTCCGTCCGTTTTTTTCGTCGGAACGTTTCTCGTTCTTTTCGCGAGTTTCATCGCATTCCGGGTCCGTCGTGGGAGAAGAAGCGCGGGGGGAAGAACGTAATGTGAATGGGGTTTCTGGTTCATGGATTCCTTCGGCGCGACTTGCTTTGTAGGCTTCGATTGCGATTTCCCGGGAGTAACCCGCTCCTCCCTCGGTGAAGCTTCGATCGTGAAAACAGGGTTGAGCCTGTCGGCCTCTGAATATTTTTCGACGCACTCCCGACGGTAGAGAACGCAAGAATTAACAGCGAGAACAGTAGTTTCTATCAGGGATCTGTCAAGGCTTCGGCGATTCTGCCGTGTTCAACGTAATTGGAATCATTCGATTCGGCTAATCATCTTGCACGAATAGTCATCGAATATTTATCGAATATTTTCTTAGTTCATCACTTAAATTATTCATACAATTTTGAGCCCAGCTATGTTTATGTTATTTATTCCTATGTTCTTATTCTTACTGAAGTACGAAGCTCTTCTAGTCTCACTCAATCATCCAAAATGAGTCGATACAATTACGAAAGAATATTTATATAATACACTAAAAGAATTGTCACGACAATCGTTTCAACGTGCACATATGTAATTTTCAACGACAACTCTCAAGTCCGAGAGATANAATCTCCCCCCCCCCCCCCGGCAACGTGTCTTTACAGTCAGAATTTAGAGGGAACTAGAGAAACGGTGACTCTTAATTTAACAACAATTGACATTTTAAGAAGAAACCGATACAATTGACGGGTAAATTTATTCTTGACGCGAGGTGAACAAGGAATAAAAAGTTAGGGCCCTCTGGGGCTAACTCGCGCGATCGACTCCTGCGGCTTCTCTCCCACGACTGCGTTGCCGGCCGGGGCGCGCTTTTTCGCGGTTTCTGCCGACACATCGCATTGCGACCCGATTCGATCTGCGCGGCGAGAGAGGAAGCTCATACGGGTGATTAATGCGCCACGGGCCAGGGCAAACTGGCTCGGTCGCGGCGCCCATGTGAACCCGAGCAATTAGCAATTGGCTAATTATACAGTTAACGGGCGATGCGCGCCGCCTGCGACGAACACAACGTAGCAAGTCGCGCGGCGCGCTTAATTGTGCGCCGTAAATGGAGCGCGCTTTTCCTTCCTAGCCTCCTAGTCGCCGTTTTTTCCACGACGTTCGCGACACCCCCTCCCCGCGAATTCCGGCGGCGCGCACACGACTTCGCGTTTCTTTCTTTTTTTTTGTCATCTTTAATTAACCGCGAGAACGGGCGCGCGACCTTGCCCGAGTTAATTGCGACTCCTAGCCGGACGCCCAAAAATAATCCGCGAGGAATAAGCGAGCGCGCGTCGTACACACTGAGAAGAAGAAATTGAAATGTTGCATGGTAAATGTTTCTTGTGATATTTTCTTCGATATTTATCGGTTACAACCAAATTTGACCGCGGTGACGGAGTATATATTTCCGTGAGATATACCTAAGTTTTCTTACTAATTGATTTATTTGCCGGGAATAAAATTTTACCTTTTATTTAAATAAACGTTTATTTCTGTAAAGTAAATCTTATATTTCACAAATAAATCTTTAAGTCCTTTTTTTTCCTCAGTGTAAGCGCTCACCGAGCTTTTTGCTCCGCCGAACGCAGCCTCTTTCATTTTCGTTTCTGAGAACCGAGACATTTGTTTGCCCGTATCCGGACAAGAATTGTTCAAGTCAACTAAATGAGTTTCCCGGTGTATCGAGCGATATTAGAAGAGCGCGTGGGTGTCGTATATTTTTATGTTCTAGCATGACACACGTCTTGAGAAATATTTCCATCCACGTTTCTCTCGCCCGCTTCGCATTATCATACTCTTTATCGCGTAATCCAGTTTTCCTCATCTTCGCGCGATATATCACCGATTATCGTTCATCGCGTAAATACGAATCGCCGAGATTTCGCGGTTTGATACTTTCCCTTCTTGTTTCAGAGGGCCAATATTTCCCGAAGATGGATACTCGATGCAAAGCATAGGTATGCTTCCCAAATACTTTGCATAACGCGCTAAACTAATCCCCGCAGTTTGCCGAATCCCCGCCTTTGAACGAGACAATGCGGGAGGAGGATTAACATTATAAATAGTGGAAACTGGAAATGTCGCACGTTCCATTATGGGTATTAGCAACCTCCATTGTCTATTTCGCGCTCCATCCTTGGCTCAAAGCGCCGGCGGGTACGTTAATGAGAAATTCGAGAAATGAGAGGATAAATGGCTGCTTCTTGTATCGGCTTCAATCCCGCCTTTATGAGAGAGTGAAGCGCCGGCTGTTTGATCCCGCTATTCACTGGTAGGCGCCTTTCGCGTTTCATGCGTCCCACGATACGATCTCCGGCATCGACACTCGACGTCGTTCACCTCCGCTCCACGCCGACGTCGATTAGCACTCCGAGAGCCGGCATACGAATGAAACATGAAAATAGGATTTGCGAAATGCAAGAGTAACGGCAAAGAGAAAGAGGGAAGAGGGAGAACGGAAAAGGATAGGAATCGCAGGCATTAAGGCGCGAGGCGTTATCTTCTCGAGAAAAGTATAAAAATGCCGAATATGCCGACCACGTGTGACCGCTCATATCGCTTATCTTTTTCATTCTTATCTTTTTTTTTTCTTTTTAATTTCGTCCGTTATATCTATAGGGTTGCCACGGAATTTGGAAGTTCCCCGACTTTTCCATGCTTTCCAGACGACATTTTTCGACGAATTTTCTATGATTAATAAATAAGGTGATTCATTTTAATTTTAATAACATTTTGAAAAATATCGGGAGATGCGGGAAAATGTTTCAGATAAAAGTTTTAGGGTTTCGAGGGACACATAAGATGGTGACTTCGTTGTACAGTCGATAATTCAAGATCACTTCAAGGTCAACTTTATTATTTTTTTTTTTTTAATAAAATTATATAATTTTTTTTTACACAAATCGATTCCTCTGTTCGTTATACATATAAAACCCGGACAATTAGCAATTGACTTATTATATGTATGTTTACTCATAGCGATTCCACTTGTCATTCTACGTACAAAAATGTTAAGATGATGATATCGAAAAAGGAATACTTTATGAAATATTTTATATCTTGCATTGAAAAATATCACAATGAAAAGTAAAATAACTCGAAAAGTATTCGTATTTAGATGATCTTGCCTTAGTACTTTTATACGTATAATGAACAGAGGAATCGAGGATCTTATATTTAAGACCGTCTTAAGTTCATTTTCAGATGCAGCCAGTGAAATGAGTCATACAGTGAATCTGCAGATGAACTTAAAACGGTCTTATATGATCCGACTGTAAGATCCGACTATGAATACTGGCCTTAGAAGCTTAATAACATGATATAATCGTGAATGCAAATTCAGACCAAGGAAAAATAAATGATTATTGCAAAAAAGAATGTAGTTATGGAAAAAAAAGGCGTTTGAATAAAAACGTTGAATAAAATTGACTAATCACATTCGATTACTTTCCTTACGGTCGAACAATAATCGACTGTGATCCCGAGTCGAAATTTGGATCCTACATTAAGTCCACTTGGTTCTGCATTAAGTCTTCAAATGGAGCAAACGAAAATAACTTCCTATTTGCAGCATCAAAAAGACGCAACAGAAGACCTGATGAAGACTCAGTGTAGAATTAAGTAGATTTTAATGAATACTAATATGTAACTAAAATCTCGACTCGGAATTCGTCATTTTTCTTACTGCTTACATCTTATTTCGAAAATTTTTCTACGTATCATACTAAAAAAATGACTTGTACGCGAATTTTGAACGTATTTGACTATAATGTCAGATATAATATCAAAAAAATTTAAGCATTCTTTAGAACAAGAACATTTAAGGGAATTATGAGCAAATTTCTCCTTTATATCTTTCTCGAACTTTTACATGTTTTCCCACTTTAAATTTCCACGACTTTTTCCACTTTTCCAGATCCGTGGCAACCCGTCTCTATTTCAAGTTCCAATTAAGACCGATAACACGTAGTGTTATCTCTCATCGATAGGCAAGGAGATAATTAATTGCAAGAAGTAACCGAAGTAATCTGTCTCTCTCGGAAGACACGCTTAGACTAGACGATGATGAACTATCCGAGGCAAATCTTCGAAAGCAGTCGAAAGGAGGACGATCCTGTGCGGTTTCGATCATCCTTCACGCTGCCATCGCTCATACTCGGGGGGGTAGGCATTCTCGACGTTTCGGTGTCGAGAACGAATCTGCTCCGGATTGCTCCAAGAATTCGCGCGAGCGCGCACCGAGGAAAGCGCCTAGCTAGGACACCTCGCGCGACTTTTCGATAAGTGCAACGCGACGCGCCGAGGTGACTAATCAAATTGCCTCCGCGGGTCCCGTTCCTGTGTGCATCAGCGAGCTAATCTAGACTGTCACCGCGACTCGAGGCGCGCGCGTGTCTCTCACGGCTCGCGTGCGACCCGTCGTCGCCGTCGTTCGCGTTGAAAGTTTTCGCCGGCAGTCGGAAGTTCTCGCGAGCGGGAAGAAGCGCTCGCGGGAGAGGAAGAGCTGTCGGAGGTTCGCCGGAGAGAGTCCCCCTGGAGAGCCGTAACGCGACGGGCGCGACGACGTCAGATGGAAAACGGTGGGTCACGATACAGTAACGTGTACTGTTAAAGAGTACGCGCGCGTACAACGAGCGCATTCGCCGGGACGAATCTGTTGCTGCACGCGCCTGCCCGCCCGGCCGCCTCTCCCCCCCCCCCCC